TATGTATGTATTTACAAAAAAATAAGTGTATAAGTATTCTATCAGTCAATCTAGCTTTTATAGTACAAGCTTTGCTTAGTTTGAAACTAGATGGCGGTGTGTGTCCGATGTCCGAAAAATCAAAAAAAGAACAACACGGCCTCACATTATGTCGTTACTTTTCACAGACTAACCGCTTATCGGTGTCCCTTTCTCCCGTCTTACTAAACCAGGAGACAAAATACTTGCGACTGTTAGTTGTAAATGTCCATGTGCCGTTGTAGTAAAAAAAAACATAATAAAATCTACAATTCTATAAAAGTTTATATCACTCACATGGACAAGAACTGCTTACCTTAATAATAGGCCTATGGGAACTAAATTGATATACAACAACATTGTCCTTTGTTGAATGTAACAAAGCAAGTTTTTATGAAACTTCACAACATGACAGGACTTTGTACAATAACCTACACTCGTTTAATGTGAGAACTATAAAGTCCATATATTGCTTTAGAATATTTAAAGTATTATTATGAAGCTCATAAAAACCAGCGGAATTTGTCGGAGACACGTTGAAATTCTTATTAAGTAATGACTCTGAATCGCACAAGGAAAGTAGTCAGCCTATTATCAGTTAATGTAATCGTTAGCGAATAAAAGTTCACAAGTCGTAGCAATCCACCTCTGCCATTTGTCCGTGTGGTGACGTATTAAGAATACGGAGTGTCACCATTCCTATTCATCCCGGGGGTGTCGACTAAGGGAGCAAACTATGCAGGACAGCAGCACTGCAAAGAAAAGGAAATTTTGAAACAAACCCTATGTCAAACCGTCGTGCAAGCGTTTTATAGTTGGCCAAAACCTCAATTTTAAGGGGAGGACTATGCCCAGTAGTGGACTATTAAAGGTTGTTGATGATGATAATGACACGTGAGTCGATGCCAATCAATAGACGTCTTAAGTGTGGTTCTTTGAAGTACTGACATGTCATAAACTTTTTTATTGTAATATTTATAAGGTTTATTTTAAAGGTGTTTTTTGTTAACTCTAAAAATGTCTCTTTTCTAGAGGGTATTACGAAGTAAATCAAACGGAATAACGTTATTATTGATAAAGGAAATAGTAGTATAGAAATGCTGATATACATTGACACTTAACATCATGCCTACAACTATAGAACAAAATGTATCATCATCATCATCAACAGCCTTTAATAGTCCACTGCTGGACATAAGCCTCTCCTTAGAAAGGAGGTTTTGGCCTACTATACCACGCTGGCCAGACGGGTTGGTATAGGGTTTATATATGGTGTTTATTTCTCCCCCAACCGGAGTTTGAACGACTTCGAGGTTTTCCTAACCAGCTTGGAGACCTCGATACGGCGACTAGCGTCTGGGCACGTCCTTGTGCTGGGGGACTTCAACGCAAAGTCCATTGCGTGGGGTTCCCCCAGGACGGACGCAAGGGGCGAGGCCGTAGAGGAGTGGGCGGCCTCGGTGAGCCTCTGTCTTCTCAACAGAGGCTCCACCAACACGTGCGTGCGACAGCAGGGGGGTCGATAGTGGACCTCTCGTTCGCTACCCCTGCCCTCGCCGCACGAGTAAGGAACTGGCGTGTCCTGGAAGAGGTTGAGACGCTCTCGGATCACCTGTATATCCGATTTGAGCTCTCCCGGACCCAGGACTCCAGTAGGGGTCACGTGGCGCGGCGTTTATCCCGTTTTCCGCGGTGGGCTGTTGCCAGACTGAACCGGGGCCTACTAGAGGAGGCAGCCATAATTCACTCGTGGCTGTCTTCTCAGGCTCCGACCGAGGAGGTCGACGTGGGGGCTGGTCGCTTTCGCGATGCGATTACGCATGTATGCGATGCGGCCATGCCCCGCATTCGAGGTCGTCGGCCTCCAAGGAAGGAGGTCTACTGGTGGTCCCAGGAGCTGGCGGACCTCCGTGCGGCCTGTACACGTGCCCGGAGGTCCTACACGAGCAGCAGCATGAGGAGTACCGACAGGCGCGGAAAACTCTGAAGCTGGCCATTAGCCGCGCCAAAGAAGAAAAAAGACAGGAGATGCGGGAGGGTCTTAATCTTGACCCCTGGGGTCGCCCTTACCGCGCGGTGCGACAAAAGCTCCGCGCGTCGGGCCCCCCCCTTACGGAGACTCTCCAGCCCAGCTTCCTGCGAGAAGTGGTTGAGGGCCTTTTCCCACAACGAGCGGAACACACTCCCCCGGCGATGGCCTCCTTGGCCGGAGACGACGGGGAGCACGGGGAGGATAATGTTTCGCCCGTCCGGGATTCGGAGGTAGGGGCGGCTGTTCTACGGATCCGTTCCAAGAACACCGCCCCTGGGCCAGACGGGGTACCGGCCCGAGTGCTGGCCCTGGCCCTCAACCACATGGCAGACCGCCTCGGGGAGGTGTTCGACGCTAGCTTGGCGTCGGGACGCTTCCCTGAGTGCTGGAAGAGCGGGAAGCTGGTCCTATTGAGGAAGCCGACACGGCCTGCCGATTCGGTCGCGGCCTATAGGCCCATCGTGCTGCTGGACGAGGCGGGTAAATTGTTTGAGAGGGTTCTTTCTGCCCGCATCGTCCGGCACCTCTGCGAGGTGGGCCCCGATCTGTCGGACGCCCAATTTGGTTTTCGGGCGGGGCGTTCGACAGTCGACGCCGTGTTGCGCCTGAGGGCCGTGACCGAAGAGGCCGTGAGCTGTGGCGGCGTGCTGTTGGCGGTGTCATTAGACATCGCCCACGCATTCAATAGTCTACCATTCAGCTGCATCAGGGAAGCACTCCACTATCATGGGGTGCCAAAGTACCTGAGGCGGCTAGTGGCAGACTATTTAGAGGAGCGTACCGTCGTGTACGAGGACCGAGAAGGTGATTTGAGGAGTCGGCCCATGTCGTGCGGTGTTCCACAGGGGTCTGTTCTTGGACCCCTCTTGTGGAACATAGGGTACGACTGGGCCCTTCGCGCCGATTTCCCCCCCGGGCTGGGTGTAATCTGTTACGCAGACGATACCCTGGTGACAGCCCGGGGGGCAAACTTCCAAGAGGCGGCGCGCCTGGCCACAGGGGGAGTCTCCCTGGTGGTCGGGCGCATTGAGGCGCTGGGCTTACGGGTGGCCCTAGATAAGACGGAGGCCCTGTTATTTTATGGGCGCCGTCGTGGTCCACCCCCTGGCGCCTCAATCGTGGTCAACTCGGTCCTCGTACCGGTTCGGGCCCAGATGAAATATCTGGGCCTGATCCTCGACGGGAGGTGGCTCTTCGACGAGCACTTCCGACAGCTTGCTCCAAAGCTGGTCGGCGCTGCGTCTGCCCTAGGGCGACTTTTGCCCAATATGGGTGGACCCAGCGTCGCGACAAGACGGCTGTACACGGGGGTTGCCCGGTCAATGGCACTGTACGGTGCACCGGTGTGGGCGGCGGCTCTGACCGCCCAGAATAGGGTACGCCTCTGGCGCCCTCAGAGGGTAATGGCGGTCAGAGCCATACGCGGTTACCGCACCGTTTCGACGGAGGTGGCATGCGCGTTGGCCGGAACTCCCCCGTGGGATTTGGAGGCGGAAGTGCTCGCCGAAGTTTATCGGCGAGTGGCTGACTCCCGGGCGGATAGCGGATTTCGCCCTCCGCCCGAGGATGTGCGCGAGTGGCGCGAAGCCGCTCGCCGAGCCACGATGGCTCGTTGGTCGTTCCGGCTGGAGACTCCACGCGCTGGCTTCGCCGCCGTGGAGGCTCTCCAGCCGGTCATCGCCGAGTGGGCAGGGCGGCAGCACGGGACCCTTTCCTTCCGGCTGACGCAGGTGCTTTCCGGGCACGGTTGCTTCGGAAAGTACCTGCACTCGGTCGCTAGGAGGGAACTGAGTCCCGCCTGCCACCACTGCGACTGCAGTGAGGACTCGGCCCAGCACACGCTGGCGGTCTGCCCCGCATGGGCGGCGCAGCGCCGGGCCCTCACTGCAGTCATCGGAGTGGATCTCTCGCTACCGGCCGTAGTACGCTCCATGGCCGGTAGCGACAGTTGTTTTACCGCGGTCGCAACCTTCTGCGAGGTAGTAATCTCGCCCAATAAGAGGGCCCGGGAGGACGACCTCCACTCGGACCCGATCCGCCGCCGGCGAACCGGGCGGCTGAGGCCCGCCTATCACCGCCTCATGCCGCCCTGAGTGTGGCCGCGGGTGGACGGGGTGGGTTTCCCCTCCACCCGCATTAGTTTGGCCAGCCGCGAGGGGGCGACGTCCGCGTGTGCCGGACGTCGCCTAAAGAGAGGAAAATACATTGAGACGGAGCCCGCACCAGGAGCGGGCTGGCGCTAGGAGGGGTCCGGATGTCTTAACAACAGCTGTTCCCGGATCCCTCCTGTTACAGGCGCAGAGTGGCACACCGTGTGGTTTTAGTCGGTCCGAGTCCGACACACCACCCCGCCGCAAACCCCGGAGGGGTGACGGTCCGAGGGGATTTCCACACGTTAAAAAAAAAAAAAAAAAAAAAGTTTGTGTCAAGTTTTCCTTCTCTCTGCAGTGCTGTTGTTCTGCGTTGTTTTCAGAATGTATACTGACAGTAAATATTTAAATCAAAAGAAAAGCTCTGGGGCTAATAATAGAATAAGTTTAAATAGTAAACATATTGTACACTTCTATAATACATCATAAGAGTCATATAATGATAAAATAAACTATGAAAAAAGTTTAATGAGCACACAGAACCTTGAATCAAGGTTAATAGTTAGCTGTTCGTTGGTAAGTGCATCTCTAAAAGCAGTTGAACTGATTTGATAAATCTTTCCGAATAAAGGAAAAGAAAGATTGAAAAATTTAGAGAGGAAAAAGGAGGACTTTAAAGTGCTTAAATCATGTCTTTAAATTTATTTATATTCGTTTCGTAGTTAACTATACTGTTAACATTAATTTGCTCTTTTATCACGACATAAAACTGTTACATAATAAATAAAATTTAAACATTAATTTAATTACACAATCAGACTCTAAACAAAATACATTTAACCTACTACTAACGACATCTATTAGAGGTACTGCTCAATCGCTGCAAAATCAACGCCATTTCCACGGCTTTTGGTCAAGTAGTCCAGAGAACGGCCACTAGATGGCGAATGGTGTTCGAAGTATTCTGCGACGTTGCCACTAACACTGCCGTATGGGATTCCACCTGAAATCAATATTAAACATTGGGCGACTAACTTGTTTTCGTTTTGTTGTAAATCTATTTGTCTGATTATATGAATTTTATTTTCTATTTTGCCACCCATTACCATTTGCCACCCATTATTTTGCAAACCTAACTAACTAAAAATACAACCCTAGAAAAATGGCAAATGGGTATCCATTTGCCATTTTTCTAGGGTTGTATTTTTATAAAACTAAATTATTTTGGAATTCAAGGTTTTATTAAAATATTCTGGATTAGGTAACAGAATTGTGTAAATATTATTTTAAAAAGTAGGTGAGTTGTGCAAACTGAGCTCAGAAAATTTGATTAGCCTCTGCAAACCTTGTGTGCTAAAGGCTATTTCAAATTTCGCCGTGTGGCTCACCATTTTTGATTCCAACACTCTGATACATTAAAAAAACTATATTTGTATCTATAGCAGTAAAGTATTAGCAGCAATATATTTTTAGGTGTCTGGAAACCACAACTAAGAAGGGCTCTACGTTATGGAAAGGAGTTTTTTATGCTATAATAGCCAAAAGAGGAGCCAGGTCACCTGGTGGTAAGTGATTACTGCAATTCATAGACGTCTGCAACGGATTAGGCCTCGTGTTCGATTCCCGGACCGGGCAAAATTTTATTGTGTTTTTCTGAGAGGAAAAATAGCTTAAGTTACTCCTTATACAGACAGCTACCGGGGCGTAAAATATTGTTAAAATTGGTCTAGCCGTTTTTTAAGATTACCCAGAAGAAACAGTCAGACAGACAAAAAATATTTAAACTGGCTTTTAGGCATAGGTATCGTGCAAATGACCGTGTGAGCATGAAAAACCCCTATTATTTTGACATTACAAACAGACAATTCAATTTTATTTATTTGTGTTGAGAGATTATTTGTATAGGCTATCCATTGATTTCCACTTATACAATTCAAGTTAGATTCTCGGTGATTTTGTGTTTTAAAGTTAAGGTTCTAAGAAAAATTTTTATAGAGAAACCAGTAAGTATAGTTCTTATAGCGTAATTTTTATTTTAGTATATAAACTTACCGTAAGACAGCCCTGGACCCGGCAGTGGAACTTTACCACCGCTGTCTGGAAATGCCGATACCGCCACGAGAAGTGCACATAGCGTGCTCACCAGAAATGACAACTGGAAAAAAATATCACAAAATAAATTTGATTTATTTATTTATATATAATTTGAAAAAAAAACAACGATTTACAGGGAGATTTTCTTCAAACTAAGGTAGCTACTACAGATTTGGTCCCTGTTGATTAACCCACCACCCCCACTTCTGTTGCAACAATAGGGTCATTACTCATTCTTCGAGCCGGAAACAAAAAGTAGACAAAGTTAATTTCAAACTACACAATACACAGCTTTTCTAACTCTGATTGACAACAGAGTAAATTATGGTGGTGTTTATGTAGAAGGAATAGCTATATACGTCTTACATAGCGTGTCTCTCTCACTCACTTAAATAAAGCCTACTTATATAAATACCGTTTTTTAAGCATATTACCAGATTCGGTAATTTATGAACGCTACTATGGAAACGCTACTTCCGTGTCATGACAGATTAGTGTCACCACCCCTACTCATCCCGTGGGTACCGTAGGAGGCAACTAAGGGAGCTTACGCAGGACAACCAGTACTGCAAAGAGACGGAAAACATGACACAAACCCTATCCAACCCGTCTCGCCAGCGTGGTATAGTAAGCCAAAACCTCCTTTCTAAGGAGAGGCCTATGTCCAGCAGTGGACTATTAAAGGCTGTTGATGTGATGATGATGACTACAGATAACTATCCTCCACCTGAGAATCAAACTTAAGACCTCGCGATATGAGCATCGATCTTTTTGCCTCGCACTACCAATCTGAGAAACAAATCGTCATCAATAGTATTTGCGGACCGTTACGACCTCCGAATCTTCAAGAAAAGAGTTTGCTCCTACCACAAAGGCCAACAACGCGCTTGTAACTCCTAAGTTGTAGGCACTCATAGGTGGCGATGGCGGTCATGAAACCGGTCTGCCGCTGACTGCAGGGTAAGCCCTCTATGTAATAAAAACAAATCTAATCGCAGAGTCGGTCTATTAGAGCAATTTTAACATATTATTATTTCCTAAGTTTTACCGCTACAAAAATACGACCTTTGTAAATTTAAATTTATCAACACCAAACCCATTATATAAAACTACAAAATAAAGGATATCAGAATTGGCTAAGGTCGTATTAAACATGTAAAAATACAAATATTCTTACATGACAAATACTTTTCAGCTTTCGACACCATGTATACGACTATTTATTCTGGTCATAATTCACCTACTTAACTCATTCCTACATCACCCTAAAGTAGGCATAGATTGCCTTTAGTAATAAGCTTCTCACTGTGCATATTATCATTGTATGTACTTCAAGTTTCAAAATAAAACTAAAATGTATGTACCGCATTTTGTAAATTCAAAAACTAGATGTATCTAATAGCTGATAGCAATGACTCCGTGAAGCAGTCCTACATTATGGCCTTAATTCATTAGTCATAGGAAGTGGTAACATATCCGCATTGCAAACATTAAAAAAAATTTGCCGATACTTAAAAAAATCTAACAAATAAGGTCAAGTACCTTGTAGGTAGTGATTAAAATGAAATATGTTTATATACTGCATAGGAATTTGTCACATTTTGTCACACTAATAAACAAGAATTCGACTTACATGACAAATGCTTTTGAGCTTTCAACATCTTCTATACTAGTGTTTACTTATGTACATATTTATTCTGTTCTATTTTTAAATATATTGTTCTAACAACATATTTTTTTCATACTACTACATAAATCTAAAACTTACATATGTTACTAAAAGCAATAAAAAAAAATTATACTGTCATCGTTTGCCGCTTTTTCGTCTGCTACAAAAGAGCTTAAATGGGAAAATTTGCGTTTTATGATATATTACAACTTAAATAAGGTTCTAACGAACTGAGAACGTTTAAAATCAGCTTTAGGTGAGTCTGCTCTTTCTCGGGCATTTTTAGATGGTTTAACGAATTTAAAAGGGGGAAAACTAGTCTTGAAGATGATAACTTGCCTTTTGGTGTAGTGGTTAGCGCACCCAACTGTTAAGCCATAGGTTATAGGTTTGAATCCCAACCAAGACAAATAATCGGTTGACTTAATGCCCAAGGCATTCTTTCCCAGTCAACCTTTAGGTAGTGTAGAAATACAATACACAACACAACACACGTAATTTTATACACAAGCAAATACACATATATATAATCATGCATACACACTTATACATTATATATGTATACATACACACATATAGATATATATATATATATATATCTACACACATACAGACATATATTCGCATTATATTCGACACCATGAGTGTAGGAATTGTATGATGAACATGATTATTTGTCCTTTGTCTAGGAGTAATTTATCTATAATGTGGTTGTATTTAGAAATATATAAGAATGTTTATCATCAGTCTGCTTCCCATAACACAAGCATTTTGAATCAGTTATTAAATCTTTAAAAAAAACCTTGACTGGTAATAAATTCCTGTACCATGTTCCATATTAGGTACGTATTACATGTATTGCACTTAACGAGTTCGCCTTCGATAAAAACAAGCATTACTCTGCAAGATCAAGTTCAATTTAGAAATGACTGATCGTTAGATGTCAGATAAATGCAGCGCTGACATACATTCTGTAGTCTTCGATGTTGCACAATTAATTTATGTTATATATATTATATGTTTATCTTATGTAATATTACAAATACGTATGTGAGTTTGTTTTGTTTTACACTACGAGTTCTCGCATTTATTAGTGAACAGATGATATTTTTGTATATGTATTGAGGAGTACAGAAGAGGATGTGGGGCAAACCTGAGTTATCCGACAAAGTCTATTTTTTAACACCGACTAATCTACATGATATCCTAACTTTTGAATATAATATAATAATATATATATATATATATAATAATATAATATATTCCACCACATACACACAACGCCATCTAGTCCTAAACTAAGCAGAGCTTGTACTATGGGTACTAGACAACTGATATAAATACATATATACTTTTTTTTTTGTAAATACATACTTATTATACATAGAAACACCCAGACCAAATCAAACATCAAATGTTCATGCACACAAATGTTTGACTTGAGCGGGAATCGACCTTTGGAATAGCAGTCCGATACACAAACCACTACGCCATCCAGTCGTCAACCTTAATAACATAACCTTTTGGTCATTGTTTATTCCAAGTTTAAACATTTTATATTCCTAAGATGGACGACAAAAGAAAAGACAGAATTCAACAGATAACATTCTTTATTTCTTTTTGTCACGAGAGTAAACTTTAATCGATTTACACGAAAATCATTTCAATTCTTTTCAACTACTTCGATATTTTCTTAATCGATATATTAAAAAATGCACATATGGGTTCGGAAATAGTTATTCAAGGTTCATTTAAATGTCAGTTGCATTACAGGTAGTAATGTCATTACGGGTACGATGACGTCATAATACCAACATTCAAATATTGCAGTTTAGTATTACCTATTACAAATTTTAAATAATCTCGATATATATTTAACAAGGCTTCCGGCGACTGTATTGACATGATATTATAATTAAAACTAAAAAAAAGGGGAGGGTTCGATGTACGAAGTTCCGCAAGAAGTGTCGGAAATAAGTCTTGTTACACATTTTTCGGTTGCCCTCTCAACCGCTCAGAGCGTGTAACGCGCGACAAGGAACTTTGTTCCAAAAAAACTCTTATCTTAGATAAGTTGCAATTCTTTTTCTTCTCTTTGTGAACAAATTGCTTTCAAAAGTATGGAAAGTAACATTCATTATTTAAAAGAAATTGACCAGCCTAGAGAGACTGAGGGATGATTACGTATTCTCTCGTTAATAAATACTTTTTCTTCCACGCGTTTGTTAACAGTTACTTTAGGAAGTTAACAATTATTACAATTCCCAAGTACGGTTAGAAGAAACGTCGCCAACTAAATGAGTAATAGTGCTATAGACTAAATAGTCATACCTCATATTTTTTTTTTTTATAAAAAGACAACTCCCGCATTAGGAACATATCCTGTGTCGCGGGGGACTTTACAAACATACATGAAACGGACACAAAGAACACTCAGACTCAGAACAACAATTTGTGGATCACACAAAGTGTCGTCCCATGTGGGGTTTGAACCCATAACACTCGACGAAGTAGGAAGCGGCGTGGTGACCGCTTAAACCACTACGCCATCCGTGCAGTCAATTTCTTTCTACACAATTCTGACAAGCTAACCGCTAACAGTAAACAAGGCAAGCAGACAGGTTTTTAGCAAAATATCTAGCCAAGGACTGAAATCCTACTAAAAACCTATATATCCTCTCTCGATCTACATGTATAATAATAATATATAATGCACATTGATAAGTTAATTCATAAAAGTAACTAAATTAGGGTACACTTTCTATGGATATCAAAAATTATCGATCGTTTAAGTACAGAAACCAGATTAAATCCGACTAGGTCCGCTTTCTCTCGTAATCGTAAACAAATGAAAGTGATATTAAATATGGCGTAGGCCTCTGATGTGGTTTTAGTTGATATAATCGTGCATGGATTTTTGATGGTAACGAGGTTCTTTTCTTAGTAAATCTACTATTGTATGAAATAATGACCAAACATGTAAGATGTATCAGATTATTACATGGATTAAACCCAGAAAGGGAGAGCCCATACTATGATAGCCAGACCGCTGATAAACATACTCATATATATCTAAGTACATACATCACATCACATCAACAACCTTTAATAGTCCACTGCTGGACATAGGCCTCTCTTTAGAATAGAGGTTTTGGCCTACTATACCACGCTGGCCAGACGGGTTAGTATAGGGTTTGTTTCAAGTTTTCCTTCTCTTCGCAGCGCTGTTGTCCTGCGTAGTTAGTTCCCTTAGTCGGCTCTTACGACACCCACGGGATGAATAGGGGTGGTGAAACTCCGTATTCTTAATCCGTCACCACACATATTTAATGAACATACATATTATAGGTAAATTACACCAGGAGTGAGAATGGAATCCTCAGAAGTCCCAAGTCCAACACGCCAGTCAAATAGAACGAAGTAATGCTTTTCTTTTTTTTCTAATGGTAATAATAGCTACATTAAAACCTCTTTAAGTATTTTTAATGGCTTTAAAGGTATGTACATATACACATATTTGCATATTCAGAGGTCAATTTTTTTTTTTAGGACATCACACAATGTAATCCAGATTCAAACTAAGCAGAGCTTATACTATGAAAGCTAGATTGACTGGTAGAACACTTATATACCTCCCTTGTGCAAAAACACACACACACCACACATAGAAAACACCCAAACTCCGAAACAAATATTTGCAGATCATACAAACATTTGGTCCGACCCGGGAATTGAAATCGATACCTCAGCACAGCAGCCGCATAAACTAATACTGCGCCACCGAGACAGGCATTATACCTACTGTGGTTCTTAATTTGAAAAATTGTAGAGTACGTAATGATTTTTTGTGTATCTATACAATATTGAAGCCCAAAATCTAAGTGGCGTGCAATGAGAGAGGCCTATGTCCAGCAGTGGACTGCGATAGGCTGATGATGATACAATATTGGAACTTCTTGGTGACTTGTTTTTTTATCCTCTTAATACTCTGTACTTTAAAATGCAAGAAGGTCAGATCTTTCGATCTGTTAAGTGTCCAACCTGTTTAGTTTTGAAATTAAACTATACAGTTTAATTTCAAAATACCTTTATATAAAAAATAGTGATATGTTTCTTTATAAAATGGTACTTCGATAGCAATGTAGAAACATTTTTGGGTATATTTTTTAATTTAGCTATTTTACCTGCCTAATCTTGCCTACTCAGTAAGTAATTTTTTGTATTTATAGTAACTATAATATGTATTTGTAATCAAACATTTTTGTATGATATAATTCCATACTCTCACTGCTTCACTAGCGTACTTTGTAACAAATATCAATGACTTTTAAAGGTCGTAGGTTCCACTTCCGCATCAGACTGTATTGAACTTTGTTGCAAAAATACATTCTCAGAATTTTGAATAACTTGGCAAAACGTAGTTGTCATGTATATATTTTTTCGAATTTTTCTTTTTTTTTAAACGTGTCTACACGCTACACGTACGTGCAAGTGCCTTTTTTTAACCGATTTTAACTATCACGTTCTCAATTAGGTTGAATTCATGTTTATATTTGCTACCACAGAACTCCGTCATTCATGAACCGATTTGGATTTCTTTTGTTTGGCCCTCCCAAATGTTTTCGCCTCATATCATTTAGATTTGAAAAAAAGAATAATCAATATCAATAATTCAAACCATAATATACTATATACTTAACTCCTGCCTATTAATAATTTTTCACAACAATACCACGTTTAATTTCCTCCAAATACATATAAAACTCACAGTGACACAAAACACAAAAATAAAACAAAACGTACACAAATAAAAATAAATTACAACCAAGTAAATTTAAAATAAAATAAAGATCAAAATATAAAACGCGCTTAAACTTAAGAAAAATTAATAGTTTTTCATGTCAGTCGGCACAAATAAAAGCACTGCATAAAGGTTGTTTAACTTAATAAAGTTTATTATCACTTACCCGCAAACAGGCCATGCTGGTAACTTGAACAGTATGCAAGTGCCAAGTGGATCGCGTTCGCTTGATCACTACATATATATGTACGTATATATGTGTATATCTGACTTGTTGGCCGTCATTTGGCTAATCACTAATCTCAGAGATTTGATATTTTGTCTATTTAATTGTTTTAACGACTAAGAAAGGCATTTTTCATCCCGTGTGTGTTGTACTCGTCTAAGGAAGCAAACTCTGCAGAATAAGAGCACTGTAAGGTGAAGGAAACCTTGAAACAAACCCTATATTAACCCGTTTGGGCAGCGTGGTATAGTAGGCCAAACCCTCCTTTTTTAGGATAGGCCTATATCCAGCAGTTGACGGTTAAAGGCTGTTTTGTGATTGTGGGCGCCACTAGATTGTTCATCTGGCATAAATCGTAACGCAAAATAAAAACAACAATTATTATGCTAACAATAATTAAACTTTTTTTTAAAAGCGCACTAGGAATATATCCTGTGTCGCGGATGACTTTACAAACATTCATAAGGCGGACGCAAAGAACACCTACAGTCAGAACGAGAATTTGTGGATCACACAAAGTGTTGTCCTATGTGGGGATCGAACCCACAACACTCAGCGCAGTAGGAAGTGGCGAGATTACAGTTTAAATCACTACGCCATCGCTGCAGTCGAGTTTTGTGTTCCCAGATATAGGTGCCCTGCCGCGGCATCTAGTTCCCTCCTCCTTTCCCTGCACTACCAGTCGCTCCATTGTCTACGTACACGGGAGTTAATGCAATCAAGTTTTTTTACGGTAAAGTGGACAAACGAGCAGACGGGTGACCTAATGGAAAGTTTTGCAACCCAAAACACAAAAGTCCAAAGAACAAAAGAATTGCTTGGGATTGTAGTCTCTATGGGTAGTAAGTCGTAGTCACTTCCACCATCCAAAACATCACAATTTGGTGCTCCGTCTGCTCGCTTGTCCTATAACTTATAAAGATTCAATAAATATTTCTAAAAATCTGATACCATGAAAATATTCAAGAAGGTGATACAGGAACAAAGTTTATTATATTATACTAGTATAGTAGTTTATTAATATTAGCGGGATATTCGGTGACGTTATTAATTTTATGAATTTTACAAATGGCTTGTTTATTACGCAATAAATATTTATCGTCAAAATTTACTGACTTCAAATTACAGTTGTGGTACGTTTAAAAGGTTAAATAAAAAACCATCCTTTGTGGTTAAACTGCGCTGTTCATTAAAGCAGATGTTTGAAGTATTGTAATAAAAAGATTTAGCTATATTTAACTAAGTTTACTGAACAATACATCTTAAATCCATCCAATCCAACATCCAACAATACATCCAATCCATTAAATGGTAGTACAACGACAATATGCATTAGACCCATACCGATGGAATGAAATGGAATATATCAATACACTTATCCTAATTCCTTGTAGGGTTGCCAGAGGGCCGGGAAATCTGGGCTTTTTCCGAATTTTGCTTCTTGTCTCGAATCCAGTAATTAGGCTTTACCGTCCTGGATTTAAATACATTTTATTAATACAGTAATAGAGTTTCCTAAGCCCAAGTGTTCACGTATTATAAACGAGTATATCCCTTACTGGTAGAGTGGCATGACAAAAATGAATAATAATAAAGAAATGAACATGACATACCCTAATTTCCCAACAGTATGGTTAGAGTAACCGTGCCTGACTCAATCTATTTATAAAAGATATCATCAACAGCCTATACTAGTCCACTGCTGGACATAGGCCTCTCCTTAGAAAGGAGGTTTTGGCCTACTATACCACGCTGGCCAGACGGGTTGGTATAGGGTTTGTTTCAAGTTTTCCTTCTCTTTGCAGTGCTGTTGTCCTGCTTAGTTTGCTCCCTTAGTCGGCTCTTACGACACAAACGGGATGAATTGGGGTGGTGACAATTTGTCTTCTTAATCCGTCACCACACGGACTATAAAAGATATAACACATATCTATACTAATATTATAAAGCTGAAGAGTTTGTTTGTTTGTTTGAACGCGCTAATCTCAGGAACTACTGGTCCAATTTGAAAAATTCTTTCAGTGTTAGATAGCCCATTTATCGAGGAAGGCTATAGGCTATATATCATCACGCTAAGACCAATAGGAGCGGAGCACCAATGAAGAATGTTTCAAAAACGGAGAAAATTTATTACTATTGAGAGACGCAGACGAAGCTGCGCGGGTCAGCTAGTATACCATAAAATGTTTTTTTATGCTGTACACACGTACGTTGTATGATGTACATACCTTTTACTTAGAGATACAAGTTACTAACACGAAACGAATACAACAAAATTTAGTTTATAATTATGTAATTAGAAATATATTTATAGCAACTCTAACTCTATACTTCTCAGTATAAACCTTACCTGTTTAAGGTCTAGATGGCGCTGTACAGTATCTTTTCAACGGTCTTTTTTTTGTAATTTGTATGTTCTGTATACATATCTGAGACATCTAAGTACAGTTCCAGTAAAAAAGTCTGGAGTTAACCGTGTTGTATTAACGATAAGTCGCTAGAACATCGAAACTTCTATAAACAAGCGATATACTAGTGTTACACCTCTGTCTACCCTCTGAAGGAAATAGTCGTATAATATTTTTAAGTTTATACGTGTTATGGTACGTGTTTGGTATTTTACCTATTTGTTGCTTGCCTTCTCAGTCTTACTTCCGAGTTTCTTGATAATTATGTGTAGGTAAATGACATTGAAACGAAATCGGAAACAGTTTAATGACACTAATAGTTATCAATGTTATGTTTTATTGAGATGAAACTAGTTTTTTTTGTTTTTGTTTAGGAAGCTAACGAGCAGATGGGTTGATAGCAATTGACTACCGCCGCCCATGGACACCTACAACTGAAGAGCTACAAGTGCATTGTCAACAGTTCAGTCCTCCCCCCAGAATCATCATCATCATCATCAACAGCCTTTTATAGTCCACTGCTGGACATAGGCCTCTCTTTCGGAAAAATGTTTTGGCATTCGCTGGCCAGACGGGTTGGTATAGGGTTTGTGTTAAGTTTTCCTTCTCTTTCCGTTACTTTTGTCCTGCATAGTTTGTTCCCTTAGTCGGCTCTTACGACACCCATGGGATGAATAGGGATAGTGACACTCCGTATTTTTAATTCGTCACCACACGGATTACACTCCATATTCTTAATCCGACACTCCGTATCCTTAATCCGAGAATCAGGGGAGATTAATGAGATTATCTGAGCCCAAATTTCTTAACACTGGTTTTCAATGAAGTCTTGGTCTCTTGACGAGCCGGCCCTTAGTGATGAAGCAAGAATCTCCCGAACCACACATGGTTACGGAACCTGCAAATGCCAAACCTCACCATCTTATATTTTATTATTATTTTTCTATGAGAATAAAATTACAAAGAAGGAAAAAGAAAGCAAATAATTAAAGAACAAATTGTTAAATTTAGAACAAAGAAATAAACTTTTATCATTGTGCTACAAGACACAAATCTTAGGTACGTTAGTAGGCAAGTAGTTCTAAAGTATTGCGATAGATGGAGATTAATTAAATAAATATTTCAAACACCTATCATGAGTTCTGAAAAAAATGAATAAAACCTATAAGAAGGTCATCATCGTCATCAACATCAGCCTAGAATGGTCCACTACTGGACACTGGTTTTGGCTTACTATACCACGCTGGCTAGACAGGTTGGTGAAGGGGTTGTTTTAAGACTTCCTTCTCTTTACAGTGCTGTTGTCCTGCGTAGTTTGCTCCCTTAGTCGGCTTACACCCACGGGATGAATATGAGGGCTAACATTCCGTATTCTTAATCCGTTACCACACGGACTAGAAGAATTTAAAGAAATGCGTGTTCTATTTATGAAATCAATAGTTGTTCAACGCGGCACCGAAGATAACAATAGATCACAGCTCGTGGCTCGTGATCGAAAAAGAAAAATAAACGTCTCTATTTCACAGTACTTTATTCTAAATTCAAATTAGACACGTTTTACAAAACTTAATATGTAAAAAAACGATCTACGTTACAAAGAAGTTTCTAATCTTAGGGTTGCAACAGTTACTGGCAACCTACAATAGGTATTAATTATAACTTTTAATTTTTTGCTTTAAATAAAAAAGTAAGCTCGTATTTGAATTTGGAACTCTTTCGTTTTGTATTGCTATTTACTTATGTAGGTCTGTAGGAAGCACTTTTGTTTTCGTTGTGGTTTAACACCGATCGCCTGCTCCGGTTACATACTCTATTTATTTATTGCTTTCGTTTTTTAAGTTTGTAAAGTACTTTGGTTTGATACTTAGTACCAATTAAAAAAAAAACACGTTATTTTTACCTCAGAAACTACGCAACATCAAATAAATTCTGTATTTTTTCTATGACTAATTTAATCAACAAGTCTATCTCTTAATAAATTAACAATATTAGCAAGAATTTTAGCAACAACTTACTGGAATGAATAACGAAATATTAATACTAGGTAGTAATACTGAATACTAATACTATAGGTACTAATACTAATTGAAAAAGGAATACGGTTAAACAAATTTTAGCATAATAAAATTCTTAAACTTCACCGCGTCCCTTTTCACAAAATCACTCTCATTAAAACGTAGGAAATCGAAAGGAAAGATGTAACACGTTAAACTGTATAACAAAACAAAAGACGTAACACATAAAACTGTATAACAAAACATAGTTAGTAACAAATCACAGACTCACATTATGAGAAAAAACGAAGTAATGCAAATAGTAATGGTAACGAAATCGGTCACGTTGTGCGTAACCAATCGTTACGGACGGGAAACTGAGTTATGACGATCAAACGAAACCATGGTTCAGTAACTGTTTCTTTATTTGTTGTTGATACTCTTTTTCTAGCTTCGGATAGTAACGTCTATAGCAGTAATTTTTTCAAGATTTAATAGTAACCGAATATTGAAAATGCCATTTAATAAATTCAAGTGGTCGCCTTATTATCTTTCCAATGTTGTGAGCCTAGATATTCCTTGTACTTAACAATGCAGATTTTAAACTAGTTTATGTACAACCATTCAATTGGAAAGTTTATTTTATAAACTGTAGTAAAACTTTTTTTTTTATAAAAGTCCAGCTTTAGGAATATATCCTGTTTTGCGGGGAATTTACAAACATACATGAAACGGACACAAAGGACACCTCAGAACAACAATTTGTATATCACACAAAGTGTTGTCCCATGGAAGCGACAAGGTGACCGCTTAAACCACTACGCCATGTAGTCACGCTAATTATGTACTTATTTTCTTACGAGTATTATTTTTACTAACTAGTTACTTACTTATCAGGTCAATCAAGCATGTGATTATGATTACCCAGACAGCTATCATAACGTCCCAGGGCCAGGCTCAAACGGAGTAATATCATGGCTCACAGAAAACCAGTATTAAGTACTTCGTGCGTTGCTTTTCACCGAGCTCTCCCACCGATTTTGTGGGGTCCCTCCCCACAAAATCGGTGAAAGGACGGCAGTGCACATGACTATTGAGTTGTAGTTGTTCATGGGTGGCGGTATTTACTTACCATCAAGTGACCCGTCTGCTCGTTTGCTCTCCTATACCTATACCAAAAAATATATTTAACTGAAATACATAAGTCTACATATTGCAATTAAGACAAATTTAATCTAAAGTCAGATTTTACGTTAACGGATCTCAAAAGGCTTCGATGTGCATGATAAATTATTAATAATAATAATAAACATACAACGCCATCTAGTTTCAAACTAAGCAGAGTTTGTACTATGAAAGCTAGTTTGACTAATTGAATACTTAAATACTTTTTTTATAAATACATACATATTATGCATTGAAAATTTAAATTTAATTGTATTGATCTATTTTCTGCGTCTCTTAATTTTGCAGCCTTAGAGGTTTAATAATTTCTACAAAATAAACAGGACCAATCTTGAGTAACTACGACCATTTCAACAAAAAAAAGCGTTTATGTCACGTAACAGACACACATAAAAAATCAGTACAATTGAGAACCTTCTCCTGTTTCAAGTCGGTAAAAAGTAATTGTACAGGAATAATTGATTAAGCATAAGATTGTAATAACTTGCGTACGCAACACTTAGTAGCCCGGTCATTGGCATTGCAGCAAGATGACTGTGCAATATAGAAACGATTCCATATAGTAACTACAAAGGCACTTAATGTAGATTTTAGATAAAATAATTATTTGCTTAAATTGCTTTTAGTAATAAGTCTCATAACAATTATACTCGTTCATAAACTCAGCCATAGAATGTCCCCTGCCAGACACAGACCTCTCTTAAAAACCATCAAGAAGATTGCTTTCTTAAGTGCACACTATAATTCCGAAAACAAACCCATTATCACATCACATACACATCAACAGCCTTTAACAGTCCACTGCTGGACATAAGCCTCTCCTTAGAAAGGAGGATTTGGCCTACTATACCACGCTGGCCAGACGGGTTGGTATAGGGTTTGTGTCAAGTTTTCCTTCTCTCTGCAGTGGTGTTGTTCTGCGTAGTTTTTTCCCTTAGTTGTCTCTTAAGACACCCACGGGATGAATAGGAGTGGTGACACTCTGTATTCTTAATCCGTCACCACACGTACCCATACCCATACCCATTATAGATTTTACCAACTTTGGTGTATTACAGTGACATTTTTTCAAGTGTTTTTCTCCTTTTTGTTCTGCGCGGAAATCCGCTCGGTCAGATGGTTATGTCAGACTCGAACCGACCAAAAACCGCACGCCGTATCGGGTACCAGTCGCTGAGGAACCAGGTGTACCCTAGAAAGGAAATCCCTGGTACCCCGACGTACCTCGGGCCATCTACGGCGTTCAGATGACCCCCTCCTGTGTGGGAAACCGTATGTCCCCTTTGTACTCCAGAAGAGGCGCGCGTGCTCTCAGCAGTGACAGATGCCCTCACCTACCACCCCCAGACCTGCCCTTATGGAGGACGGAGATTGTTCTGCGATCTCCGGCGCCTGAGTCGTCTAAGTGTTTTTCGCCTATTAATTATAAAACTCAGATATCGTCATCTTCTTTTCCAACGTTATGTGTGTGCCGCGCAATAGGTATGTAAAATTGAAAAAGGTTTTAAGTGGATACTTTTTTACCTTGCCGGGCCGAGATCACATACCCGTAATTTTTTTATTTAAAGAAAATAAGTTTATATAAGAGATATTTAAGTATGTTTATCAGCAGTTTGGTCACCATAGCATAGGCTCTGCCTAGTTTGGGATCAGACAGCCGTCTATGAGATGTGTGAAGTTGTTATTATTATTTTTAAATACAACGTAATACGTGATATCTATCCATTAGTTACTCATACTCTTACTCTCTGCTTCGTTTGAAAAGCTTCTAAAAAACAAAAACAATAATTTACCCGACCTTGGAGCAAATATGCGCGGCATTATGTCTGGTCCATCGAGCAGACAATCACATAGTTACTTCTGTCAATAGCTCAGATTATTAGTCAACGTTTGAAAGTACTTGCTTAGTTTCGTCATTTTATTCAGTAAACTATTATTGTTGCATCAAAAATTTAATTAGTTCGTAGTGTAAAAAGTTAGCATGCCCGAAATTGCATCAATCAAAACAATTGAATGCTCCATTTCTTGATTACAGACGTATTAAGTAACGAAATACCCTAACTATATTGCGTTGTAGTTAACTCTTAATTCACAATTAGACAACATTGATTGGTAACGTTTTAACTTTTTGGTTGTTAGTGGCAGTGGGCAGGCCATATTAGCCGCAGAACCGACAACCGTTGGAGTAAATGAGTTCTAGAATGGACGTTTCGGCAAACGTAATGTAGGACGCCCACAGGCCAGGTGGAGTGGCGATTTGCGCATGATGGCTGGCAGGAGCTGGATGAGAGAAGCCTAAAATCGATTTAAGTGGCTTGTAAGGGGAGAGGCCTATGTCCAGCAGTGGATTTACTGATTTCAAAGTCATCAAAATGTTGGCACAATAAAGACGGTGCTCATTTTTTTTTGACTTGTAATAATTGTAATTGTATTCTTTATATCTTAACTTTTCACACTTAATATTTTATTTTTAAATTTATATGACCAAACAGAACGACATCCAATCCATTAAAAACTAAAACAGCCATTAAAAAAAAGGTACAAACGAATTAAAAACCTTCTTTTTAAGACAGTTTTCAAAATAACAAAAGCACAAACCGTATCTTTAATTATTTTGCATGTCACATGTCACGGTGTAACCCTTACATCATTTTTTCAGCCGGGACCTTTCTGTAACTGAAATAATTTCCTGCATAAAATCGCAATGATTAATAGTTAGCGTTATAAGTCAAAGAATAATAAAATCTGAGACATACATATTCATCTTAAAGTAATAAACGTACATCAAAGATCTAATGCGACACATTTTCAAACTTTTTTCGACTAAATGTCGAGTCGTAAGACTATACAAGTACTATATATGGACTGTATTGAATACAAAATGGAACTAATTTTAATTCAAATATCGCACAGCATACTTGCCCATAACGCAATATTTTAGCATAGAACTTACATAGACTAGAAGCAACTACTGTCAGAATTATTAATACGGCGCAATAAGCTTAAAAACTTATAGCTCTGGAAGTGATTTAGGGTGTTTCGTTGAAATAGGTTGAATGGTAACGTCAGCAAGAATATTCGTTTTTGTGTTCACTCTCCATTCTTATTTCAAAATTCTGTACACACTTAGAAGATGCCTTAAAGGATTTGGTGGAACTAGGTGGATCCGGTACAGCACCAACTGCCTGGAGGAACGTTCAAGAGTACCTTGTGGCTACGAGAGTAGTTGGCGACTGCAGTGTTGAGGTCTCGGATTCAATTCCCGTGTGAGACCAAATGTTTTTATGATCTGCAAATATTTGTTTCGGAGTTTGGGTGTTTTCTATGTATAATAATAGGTTTGTATTAACAAAAAAAATTTGGTCTTATTTCAGTCAATCTAGCTTTCATAGTATAAGCTCTGCTTAATTTGAAACTACATAGATGGCGTTGTGTGTCAGATGTCCGAATTATTATTATTATTATTATATAAACATGCTGTGCCCAAAGCCAATGTGTAGGATTCAAAATTAGAACTATTCTATTTGTAAAGTTACAACCTTTTTTTTTATTTAATGACTACCTTCTGTCCGCGGCACCGCGGCTCGCGTTTATGTCGATTTTCCGATTTTGCGATTAAGAGTAGCTTATGTGCTCTTCCGTATTTTCATTATTTCCAATTCATCTTTGTGCTAAATTTCATCCAAACCAGTTTATCTTTTTTCCTTTTAAAAAAGACTACTATTATATTATTATTATTATTATTCTCTTTATTAAATTATATATACATATTAATTACATTTTTAAATATATTACAAAAGAAATAAAAATACATTTAAAAATATAAAAAATAGTAGACCACCGACATCGGGTACAGGTACCAAGACACCAGTGGTTAGGACTGCAAAGATAGGAACCTCCTCACTATACGAGCCGTGTCAAGGAGGACTGCCTTCTGTATTAGACCCTTGATCCAGCCGTCCAACGTGAGCCTCTTAAGGTGTTGGTCGAGGCTCTTGGCTATCAATCCGTGAGCAGATACGACTATCGGAACAATTATCACTGAATCGACATTCCACATATCGACAATCTCGTGAGATAAATCCAAATATTTTATTTGTTTTTCTTTTTCAACTTTCACGAGATTCTCGTCATGAGGAACGGCGATATCAACAATCATTGCGCGGCGCTCTAATCGATCTATCACTACAATATCAGGCTTATTAGCAACAATAGTCCTGTCTGTGATAATAGATCGATCCCAATACAACGTGGCCCGACCATTCTCGAGAACTGGGTCGGGCACATACCTGTAGTATGGCACCTCTAGATTCACAAGATGGTATTTAAGGGCAAGCTGTTGGTGTACAATCCTGGCTACTTGGTTGTGCCTATGCAAATATTCACCGTTAGCAAGACGAGAACAACCAGAAATGATATGCCTGATTGATTCCCCAGGACGGTGGCATGCCCGACAGATGTCAACCGTACCATCTTTCAGGATATATTTCCGATAGTTATTCGTCATGATAACTTCGTCCATAATCGCACAAACAAAACCTTCAGTTTCTCCAAAGAGATCACCATGCCGTAGCCAAGTCGTAGATGCTTTTAAATCTATATCGGACCAGTTTAGGGCCCGATAAAACCGACCATGAAGCTCTTTGCCCTTCCATACTTCCCTGCGATCATTAACACCAAGTACTACAGGTCTGCGCCAATTCTCTTTAGCCAGAGCGAGCGGGGTGAAGCCGGTATCCACTGCAACTACATTGCGATGCACTCCCACGTCGGTATGTAGAAAATATTCTCTGAGATTGCATACCTCGCGATTATGTAGGGTCTTGATATTTAATAGACCGCGACCCCCAAGCTTTCGCGGGATATACAATCTCATAACTGATGAACGTGGGTGGTGCATTCGGGATGCAGTCAGCAGTGTGCGGACTTTCCTGTCAAGGGCATCTAATTCGGTCTGAGTCCATCTAAGTATACCAAAGGAATACATTAGAACCGGCATGACCCAACCATTGCAGGCTCGCACCTTGTTGCCCCCTGATAAAAGACTTTTAAGTACTTTTTTCAAGCGGCCAAAAAAGCGTTCCTGCAATGTTTGTTTCATGTTAGATTCTGGTATTCCCAACGACTGTGATATACCCAGATACTTGTAAGTTTCAGTGGCAGACAGAGATCTGAGTTTTGTTGAATCCAAAAGCTCTATTCCTTCAGATTCAACTATCACACCCTTCTTTACATACATGACTGCACACTTGTCTACACCAAATTCCATTTTGATAGAATTACTAAAGTTTTCCGTCACCTTTAGTAACTTTGTCAATTGTAATTTGTTGGAGGCTAACAGTTTCAAATCATCCATATAAAGAAGGTGAGATATAACTTGATCATCTTTCTGCAACCTATAGCCTAACCCTGAACCCTCTAATAAAGTGCTAAGAGGGTTCAAAGCCAGACAAAACCACAAGGGACTCAGACTATCACCTTGAAATATACCCCGCTCGATCTTTATTAGTACATCGTGTATCGCTGTCTGCCGACATCCTGGATAGCGAAGTGCCGTTCTCCATTGCCCCATACATGACTTCAAGAAAGTGCACAGAGTTGTATCAATTTTATACAACTCCAGCACCTTCAAAAGCCATGTGTGTGGAACCGAGTCATAGGCCTTCTTATAATCTATCCAACACGTCGCCAAACTCTTACGATTACAACGTACCTGTTGGCTAATGGTCATGTCTATGATAAGGAGGTCTTTAGTGCCACGGGTCCCACTTCTACATCCATTCTGAGAAACTGACATAATCGAATTATTATTAATATGTAAAGTAATTTTGAGTCTCAGAATAGATGTTAGAAGTTTATACATGGTAGGTAAACATGTAATAGGTCGAAAATTTTTGGGATCCATGACACTACCAGACTTATAGAGTAAGTGGGTTATGCCAGTGGTTAAAAATTGGGGTAATGAACCCGAATCCAAAGCTGCCTGGAATTGAGATGCCAAACGCGCATGTGAGCTTCGGAACCACTTAAGCCAAAAGTTGTGCAGTCCGTCTGGACCAGGTGATTTCCAATTCGGTAATGAACGAACTGCACAACTTACATCATCTTTATCAATTTTAACAGGTTCCATAGGTGTTATAGACTCACATGAGCGTCTGACATCCTGCAACCAATCACCTTCTATATGAGTGACAGGCACCGACCAGATGTTACGCCAAAATGTATTTGTGACATTTTCATCTGGCAAATGCCTATCACCCACACATGGATCCGGTTCCTCCCATTTCCGGTACACCCACTTCTCATTTCTTTGGAACATCCGATTCTGATTATACCGATCTGTTCGTTTTTTATACCGTCTTATCCTATTTGCCCATGCATAAATTTTCTGCTTTAGAAAGTCTATGCGCTCTGTGACACATGACATGTACTGCTGAGGACTAATGGTAGTCCCCAAGAATGCCTGTTTCACAAAGCGCATCACTCTCGGCCGCATATTCCCTGATCGGTAGCTAATAAGCTTACCGATGAGTGTCCTGGTCTCAGTAATACGACGTTCAATTCTATACTGCCAAGCTGGTACAGTAGATTTAGGTCGAGTAGTAGTGACATTGTTAGCTATTTTAACACCAGCTACTCGACAAGCTGCAATAGCCGCACAATATAGAATAGAATGTGTATCACTAAGATCTTCGCTATTATCTAAATATTCAGGCAATAACGAATCCAGGGCACCCACCAGCGCTAAATTTCGTTTATGAATGGGCAAACGGAATAACCGGGGCCTATCATTGCAATTTAAATATCGGTATTCCAGAATCGCATCCTCCAAAGCACTCCTTATCCTATCATTGTATTGGGTACTTACGGATATAACTTCACTCTCCACTAGTTCATCAATATCATCAGTATATGATGCCAACTGAGGTGTGCTGTTGGCTACCGAATCCACAGTGTGTGACGAAGAAGGGATAATTAAGCTATTCCGTATGTCAGAGCGTATCCTCTCAAGTACTGCATCATCCAGCAGATGACAGCGCTGTATAGCTCGTACTTGATCCGACAATCGTTGTGCTGATACGTTGACAGCTGGTTCAAGCTCCTGAAACAAAGAGACTAGTCGAACACGGTACGCAGTAAGGTTCGTTCCCACCTCTGTAGCCCGATAATATGCCCGCATGACATTTTCATTAATAGACTTTGTCCACTTCATGCGGCGCACATCACCACCGGTAGCGGGGACCCTGTTCGAGGTCAGTAGTCCTCGGGATCCCAAGCTGGTCGGTGGCCGGCCTCTCCCCTGCCGACGTACAGGTGTTGGCGACGTCGGCGGAGAGAAAAACTCGTCGCTTGAAGTTGAGCTCGACGCCTCAGCCACGGCCGGAACTTCTGTTGTAGCTTCCGGGGACGGCAAGACGGAGCGGAGCGACGAGTCCGGGGATGTTGTCAGTGCTCTGGATCTAGCTCGGGTTAACATTTTCTAGTCGAATTTCTAATTTCTTTCATTTTCAATATTTTTTGTATTTTGACATGACGTTAAACGTCATGTCTTACTATCAACATATATCTATATATATTATTTATTTAAAACGGTTTTGTGTTATATTTTCATAAAAAGGATCCATTTCAATACAGTTTAATAGCTTTTAATTATTGTACGGAATTGTAAATGTATAGAAAACTTGTTTTAATTCGAAAATGTGAAGAAATTCCGACTGATGTAGGTAAGTGTTGCTAGTGTTATTATTATTATTCTCTTTATTTACTTTATATACATATTATTTACATTTTTAAATATACACTTTATAAAAAAAAAATACATTTAAAAATATAAAAAATAGTAGACCACCGACATCGGGTACAGGGACCAAGACACCGGTGGTTAGGACTCCAAAGATAGGAACCTCCTCACTATACGAGCCGTGTCAAGGAGGACTGCCTTCTGCATCAGACCCTTGATCCAGCCATCCAACGTGAGCCTCTTAAGGTGTTGGTCGAGGCTCTTGGCTATCAATCCATGAGCAGATACGACTATCGGAACAATGATCACTGAATCAACATTCCACATATCGACAATCTCGTGAGATAAATCCAAATATTTAATTTGTTTTTCTTTTTCAACTTTCACGAGATTCTCGTCATGAGGAACGGCGATATCAACAATCATTGCGCGGCGCTCTAATCGATCTATCAACACAATATCAGGCTTATTGGCAACAATAGTCCTGTCTGTGATAATAGATCGATCCCAATACAACGTGGCCCGACCATTCTCGAGAACTGGGTCGGGCACATACCTATAGTATGGCACCTCTAGATTCACAAGATGGTATTTAAGGGCAAGCTGTTGGTGTACGATCCTGGCTACTTGGTTGTGCCTGTGCAAATATTCTCCGTTAGCAAGACGAGAACAACCAGAAATAATATGCCTGATTGATTCGCCAGGACGGTGGCATGCCCGACAGATGTCAACCGTACCATCTTTCAGGATATATTTCCGATAGTTATTCGTCATGATAACTTCGTCCATAATCGCACAAACAAAACCTTCAGTTTCTCCAAAGAGATCACCATGCCGTAGCCAAGTCGTAGATGCTTTTAAATCTATATCGGACCCGTTTAGGGCCCGATAAAACCGACCATGGAGCTCTTTGCCCTTCCATACTTCCCTGCGATCATTAACACCAAGTACTACAGGTCTGCGCCAATTCTCTTTAGCCAGAGCGAGCGGGGTGAAGCCGGTATCCACTGCAACTACATTGCGATGCACTCCCACGTCGGTATGTAGAAAATATTCTCTGAGATTGCATACCTCGCGATTATGTAGGGTCTTGATATTTAATAGACCGCGACCCCCAAGCTTTCGCGGGATATACAATCTCATAACTGATGAACGTGGGTGGTGCATTCGGGATGCAGTCAGCAGTGTGCGGACTTTCCTGTCAAGGGCATCTAATTCGGTCTGAGTCCATCTAAGTATACCAAAGGAATACATTAGAACCGGCATGACCCAACCATTGCAGGCTCGCACCTTGTTGCCCCCTGATAAAAGACTTTTAAGTACTTTTTTCAAGCGGCCAAAAAAGCGTTCCTGCAATGTTTGTTTCATGTTAGATTCTGGTATTCCCAACGACTGTGATATACCCAGATACTTGTAAGTTTCAGTGGCAGACAGAGATCTGAGTTTTGTTGAATCCAAAAGCTCTATTCCTTCAGATTCAACTATCACACCCTTCTTTACATACATGACTGCACACTTGTCTACACCAAATTCCATTTTGATAGAATTACTAAAGTTTTCCGTCACCTTTAGTAACTTTGTCAATTGTAATTTGTTGGAGGCTAACAGTTTCAAATCATCCATATAAAGAAGGTGAGATATAACTTGATCATCTTTCTGCAACCTATAGCCTAACCCTGAACCCTCTAATAAAGTGCTAAGAGGGTTCAAAGCCAGACAAAACCACAAGGGACTCAGACTATCACCTTGAAATATACCCCGCTCGATCTTTATTAGTACATCGTGTATCGCTGTCTGCCGACATCCTGGATAGCGAAGTGCCGTTCTCCATTGCCCCATACATGACTTCAAGAAAGTGCACAGAGTTGTATCAATTTTATACAACTCCAGCACCTTCAAAAGCCATGTGTGTGGAACCGAGTCATAAGCCTTCTTATAATCTATCCAACACGTCGCCAAACTCTTACGATTACAACGTACCTGTTGGCTAATGGTCATGTCTATGATAAGGAGGTCTTTAGTGCCACGGGTCCCACTTCTACATCCATTCTGAGAAACTGACATAATCGAATTATTATTAATATGTAAAGTAATTTTGAGTCTCAGAATAGATGTTAGAAGTTTATACATGGTAGGTAAACATGTAATAGGTCGAAAATTTTTGGGATCCATGACACTACCAGACTTATAGAGTAAGTGGGTTATGCCAGTGGTTAAAAATTGGGGTAATGAACCCGAATCCAAAGCTGCCTGGAATTGAGATGCCAAACGCGCATGTGAGCTTCGGAACCACTTAAGCCAAAAGTTGTGCAGTCCGTCTGGACCAGGTGATTTCCAATTCGGTAATGAACGAACTGCACAACTTACATCATCTTTATCAATTTTAACAGGTTCCATAGGTGTTATAGACTCACATGAGCGTCTGACATCCTGCAACCAATCACCTTCTATATGAGTGACAGGCACCGACCAGATGTTACGCCAAAATGTATTTGTGACATTTTCATCTGGCAAATGCCTATCACCCACACATGGATCCGGTTCCTCCCATTTCCGGTACACCCACTTCTCATTTCTTTGGAACATCCGATTCTGATTATACCGATCTATTCGTTTTTTATACCGTCTTATCCTATTTGCCCATGCATAAATTTTCTGCTTTAGAAAGTCTATGCGCTCTGTGACACATGACATGTACTGCTGAGGACTAATGGTAGTCCCCAAGAATGCCTGTTTCACAAAGCGCATCACTCTCGGCCGCATATTCCCTGATCGGTAGCTAATAAGCTTACCGATGAGTGTCCTGGTCTCAGTAATACGACGTTCAATTCTATACTGCCAAGCTGGTACAGTAGATTTAGGTCGAGTAGTAGTGACATTGTTAGCTATTTTAACACCAGCTACTCGACAAGCTGCAATAGCCGCACAATATAGAATAGAATGTGTATCACTAAGATCTTCGCTATTATCTAAATATTCAGGCAATAACGAATCCAGGGCACCCACCAGCGCTAAATTTCGTTTATGAATGGGCAAACGGAATAACCGGGGCCTATCATTGCAATTTAAATATCGGTATTCCAGAATCGCATCCTCCAAAGCACTCCTTATCCTATCATTGTATTGGGTACTTACGGATATAACTTCACTCTCCACTAGTTCATCAATATCATCAGTATATGATGCCAACTGAGGTGTGCTGTTGGCTACCGAATCCACAGTGTGTGACGAAGAAGGGATAATTAAGCTATTCCGTATGTCAGAGCGTATCCTCTCAAGTACTGCATCATCCAGCAGATGACAGCGCTGTATAGCTCGTACTTGATCCGACAATCGTTGTGCTGATACGTTGACAGCTGGTTCAAGCTCCTGAAACAAAGAGACTAGTCGAACACGGTACGCAGTAAGGTTCGTTCCCACCTCTGTAGCCCGATAATATGCCCGCATGACATTTTCATTAATAGACTTTGTCCACTTCATGCGGCGCACATCACCACCGGTAGCGGGGACCCTGTTCGAGGTCAGTAGTCCTCGGGATCCCAAACTGGTCGGTGGCCGGCCTCTCCCCTGCCGACGTACAGGTGTTGGCGACGTCGGCGGAGAGAAAAACTCGTCGCTTGAAGTTGAGCTCGACGCCTCAGCCACGGCCGGAACTTCTGTTGTAGCTTCCGGGGACGGCAAGACGGAGCGGAGCGACGAGTCCGGGGATGTTGTCAGTGCTCTGGATCTAGCTCGGGTTAACATTTTCTAGTCGAATTTCTAATTTCTTTCATTTTCAATATTTTTTGTATTTTGACATGACGTTAAACGTCATGTCTTACTATCAACATATATCTATATATATTATTTATTTAAAACGGTTTTGTGTTATATTTTCATAAAAAGGATCCATTTCAATACAGTTTAATAGCTTTTAATGATTGTACGGGATTGTAAATGTATAGAAAACTTGTTTTAATTCGAAAATGTGAAGAAATTCCGACTGATGTAGGTAAGTCTATTATTATTATTATTACTATTATTATTATTACTACTACTTTTGCATTAGGAA